GATGAAACAGGTAAGAATTTTAAAGAGAGATTTAAATTAATTCTGAAAATTTTATTTTGAAGTGTAGAAAAACTTAGGGACCTCTGAGTGTTTCAAAAAGTATTAATTTTCTAGTGGCTGAGGAGTAAGAAGTTTCTTTTAATATATATCTGTATGTATTCAGCACACTCTGTGAAGGCATCTTAGTGTAAGTGCTCTTTTGCTCAGCGTATTGCTTATTTGACCAAGGCAGTATCCGGTCTGTCTCTCCGTTCTGCTTTACTAAAATAAGCTGTTACTTCATCTGCAACCTGTTGCAAGTCCAGTGCAGCTACAAGTTAAACATACATACTGTTCAACCTGTAAAAAATTAAGCTTCCGATTTCATTGTTGTGTACAAATGTTGCTCCAAAACAGAAGAGGAAAACCCAGCGTGTTAGGGGTGTTTGCGTGCCTACTTGTTTCTTTCCTCCTGTATTTAAAATGGCCTGTACCCCAGCTAATCGAGTTCAAAGGGCTGACGTCACTACATTTCCTGGAATCGTGTTCGGCAGGGAAGTGGAAAAGTTAAACTCCAAGCGAGCTACACATTGACGTCAGCTCCGAGTCATGCTGTGATTTAGTCAGTTCCTTTCGGCTTTGTCAAGTGCTGCTGACAGATTTAGAGTTGTTAACTAGCTCGCCACTGCCTCTATCTCCAAGATCGCTCTTACACTGAATAGCTTTTCTCGTAAGCCTTACTTTAACATTTCTCTTGAGGTAAGTATCTGCTTGACGAGGGGGAACGCTTTGTGGAACCTGTAATGCTTGGGTGAGCAGAACTCTGCAGCCGTCTGTCCCGCCTACGCCTACGTGGGAAGGTTGAGCCTGCCTCCTGCGGAGGCCGCCCCGCACGTGCCCCGGGAGAGGTGGGCTCTGGAGCTGGAGGGTTTCCGCACCCTTGCTCGCTTTCGGGCACTGGCGCCTCGGAGTGCCCTCTAGCGCTCAGTCAGGGGAGTGTTTGTCTGAAAGTTGCCCCCACCCCCACCCCTCCACCTCCAAGTCTCAGTTCTTTAAATTTGTGATCAGTAATCCTGTTGTTTGGCTTTCTTAATTACAGGTAATGATTCAGACTTTGCTGCTAATGTTCTGTATTAGGGTTGCATTGTTTTTTCTGTGGTGTCTCATTTCTAACCTCTGAATTTGCAGCTGAATTCACAAAGAATGGATGATTGTAAACAGCTTCACCACAGTTTAGCTTTTCAGAGTTAGTGGGTCTAAATCCTCTTCCTAGATGGGAACATTCCATTGATTTGAGCAACTAAGACCTGTATTAAAGCGTTTTGAAAATTATCTTGATGTGCTATTATTTTTCTCAAAGAAGTTTTGGTGAAATTTTATGAAAAGCTATAGATTGCAGAAACTCTCAAATGACAAGTTTATTGTAAGATAGATGGACTTAAAATAATCTCAAATACTGCAGTATGATTCTAGAAGCAAGAGGCATTTTGTGCATGTATTTATTTGCTAAAAATCATTGGTTGGCTTATATCTTTCTTTACTAAGTAAGGCTTTAATTCCAGTTCTCATGTCTAACCATGAGAGAAAATTATAATAAAAAATAAAAGATCTGAAAATATACAATATATTTAAAGATGAAAGTTTAAGGTAGAACTTTGCATATATTTTTAATCATTGCTTGTAAGTGAACATTTTTATACATTTATATGTACAGAATGAACATATACCGTCCTTGAAGAGCTTTGTTTCACAGTTTTACCTATAATGCTTATACACATGAGTTACTAACAATTTAAAATCTTCCAAATGCTAAAACTAAAAAATGTCAAACTTTTTTCACAAGACCTCATTGTACTTTGGAAATCATTATTTTTAGAAATCTGATCAGTTTTCACAGAACCAATTCTATTTTGAAATGCTGTTTAAAAATGAACAACAGTTTTTTTGTTTGTTTGTTTTGTTTTGAGGAGCCGAAAGAGCACAGTGTTTAAGGGACTTTTTTGAAGTAGTAGTAGAGGAGCTACCTGTGTGTATTGGTGAACCAAGTGGACTGATGTAGATCTTTGGCTTACACATTTTTTTGACCATGACCCACATTTTTACATCGTGATGCTGTATACCTGTGTGTGTGTGTGTGTGTGTGTGTATGTACATAAAACAAGTTTTCTTTTTTCTTTATTTTTATTTAAATTCAATTAACATATATAAATAACATATAATTATTGGTTTCAGAGGTAGAGGTCAGTGATTCCTCAGTCTTATATAATACCCAGTGCTCATTACATCACATGCCCTCCTTAATGCCCATCACCCAGTTACCCCATCCCCCCACTCCTCTCCCCTCCAGCAACCCTCAGTCTGTTTCCTATGATTAAGAGTCTCTTCTGGTTTGCCTCTAATGCTTATCTTGGGGCGCCTGGATGGCTCAGTCAGTTAAGTTTCTGACTCTTGATCTCAGCTCAGGTCTTGATCTCAGGTTCATGAGTTCAAACCCTGCAGTGTTTTTGGTGTGTTTGTTTGTTTAAAGTGCTTATCTTTACATACAGTAGAGATGTAATGGACTTTTCTATTTTTCTGTTGCTCATGAAATTGATTTTATGACCCACTAATGGTCTAAAACTTACAGTTTGAAAAACTTGTCTAGACCAAAACCAGGCTCCTAACAATGACTGGTATGGGAAAAGTTTTCAGGAGTATTTATTTATAGAATCATGGAATAAAGTGTGGAAAGCAAATATCTGTAGTTTATAGAATTGTATTATTGAGACTTTTGGGTATAGTTTAAATTTTTGTTAGAAATAGTTTTTGGCTTTATTCATAAGCTGATTATATTAAGAGCCTCACTCCATATCTTTTAGTCTCTGAGTCTTAAAAACTCTAATACATTGTATTCAGCCTGGACTTCTGAACTGTTAAAAATAAATATTCAAATTTGGAAAATAGTGTCTTAGTTAATATTTGATGCATGAGAATAAGGATACATTTCCCTTGTGAAAGGGGGGTACTTGAAAAGGTTATTGTTGGGGAATTTTCACATAAAAGAAAGGTTTGGATCAGGTGTAATAGCTTCTTAAACTTGCCAGCAAAGCAAGTTACAATTATGTTGGAAGTGAAAAAAGTCACTTATCTACTTTAAGTTTTAATACAACTCCAAATCTGTATGGAAGGTTTACTGAAATTTACATCGTGCTATGTTCCCACTAATATTGAAAAAATTTCAGTGAAGTATTTTTTGGGATGATTGTTTCACTCTGCCTGGTTTTATTTGCCTATATGAATATATTGCTTAATAAAATAATTGTGATACTTTGCATTTATGTAAGCTTTAAAAAAATTACAGTATTACAATATAAATACAAATGTTGTCAGTGCTATCAAACGATCAGATGGTGAGAGACCTACAGGAAACAGGTAATGTAGGTTAAAGGATCCGGGTAGGCCTCGCTGAGGAAAGTATATTTAAATACCCAAGAGGAGAAGCACTTTCCATGTAATTGTACTGATGCACTCAGAGCAGGTCATATTATATTCATTTTCCATATAACAACATGGATCAGAGTGGTAAATAACTCTTTCAAGCTCACAAAGCTAACAAGTAGTGAACCAGTTTGGACCTTCAGACTTCAAGAACAGACCTTGTCTGATTCTGTTCACACCATATTACAATGCTCCTCAAAATTCACCCTGATAAATTCATGCTGAGGTTAGATGAATTACCACAGCATACTACACACTACTTAGAAAACATACAAAATAAAGCTAGCATCATTTTAAGTAGTCAAAATGGATTTTTTTCTAGAATATTTATTATTACTCTCACAGGGCAAGAGAGTGTATATTTGATATACATAGAACTTTTCATTTCAACATTTATACTTTCTCATCTTTTACATAGACTCTTTTTTGACTCTTTAAGATTTTCACTTAAACAACTCAGGAAGTTCCCTTATATGTAACTTAAAGTAAAAATCGTTAAGGACTTAATTCTTTGTGGTCTAAGTGTTATATTTATTGTAACAAATTTGAAAATGTTCATTGCTTAAGTAGTCATGTTTATGTAGGGTTTCATTTTCCTGGAAAAAAAATAGAGCAGTGGAGAAGGGAAAGGTTTTGACAGTGGGAGACACCAGGCAAGGACAAGGCTGATTTGGGCTTCGTGTGCCCTGGCGTGATGGAAGGGAGGGAGAGTGAAAAGAGAAAGGTGAAGATGTTAGTAGCTTCTTGGAGCTACGAAAGAGAAGTCCCCTGCTTATCAGTACAACTTCAAAGTTAGCTCATTGCTTGTTACTTAGGTAGATTTGGGATAAGGGACACCTAGCGAAATGACATACGAAGGTAGGAGCTCCATTTATAAAAATGTTTTTATTGAGTTAGTGTGCTCAGTACTACAGATATCTCAGTAGATAAACAAAACCACCAACATTTGGGATGTGGATAAGTTGTTCCACTTTGAAAACTATCAAGATAGGCATTTGGCCGAGTTTCTTCTTTCTTTCTTTGTTAGGAAGAAACAAGCACCTCTTTGACTTGTTAGGCTTTTCAGTGAGTTTTCTTATTACCAGTCTGATGAAACTGTCTCATAGGGTTACTTGTGATTCTCCACCTTTGAGGTTCTATTCTAAATGATTATAAACATTGAAAAGGACTTTTATTATCTTTTAATAATCTATTCTCTAAAGGAATATAATAAAATAGAGTATAAATTTTAGAAGTTTTTAGTAGGCATATTTTTAAACAAAATAAGGAATAAGAGCCATACGTCTCAATCATTCTATTACCCAGGTTTGTTAGAAGGGAAACTCCAGGGGAAAATATATTTATGGATGTTATATGCCTTTTAACTAATATACAGTATAAGCATAATTTGGACCATTGTCTTTCAGAACTTAAGGAAGGGAAGAGGAAGGGAACTAACATTTGCTGAATGCCTAACATGTGCCAGGCACTGTGCTAGACACTTTGACATACATTACAGGGTTTATTGTGAGTATTAAATGAGATAATGTATCCCCATTTTACAGATGAGGAAACTGAACTTGCCCCAAGTCACATGGCTGGTAAGTGGCAGAGCTGGACTAGAATCCAGACTCCAGATCCCATGCTTTTTCTACTGTACCGTGTTTAAAGCTTGCGAAGAGAGGTATGAAGCTTAATGACCAGAATTGAGGGTTCTAGGAATTTGCTTTTTCCATGAAATATTTGATACTAAACCTAAAAAAAAAAAAAATTGTTCACGTCAGGAGGTAGATAGTGGGAAATACACTGTAATTAGAACTCATCTGCTTCTCAAACGCCAGGTGAGATGACTAGTGTGTGAGGGAAGATTAGGAAGTAATGGCAGTTGGAGTAAATACATAGCATCTTGTGAGAGCTTCCCACGTCATAGTGTTAAAGACTTAGCTATAATAATGGCTAATAATAGTCTTATAATAATACTGCTTATTTTAAACATTCAAATGACAGTGGGCTTGGGCAAAACCCTGGGAAGTTCAAAATTTCCTTCATGGTGTACATGTAAACCCACCGAGCACCCATCATGTGCCAGATACTGTGCTAGGTTATAGGGAGTACCAAGCTAAAAAAGACACCCCTGACTTTAAAGTTTTTGTTGCCTTAGGATAAAATTAGTATATAAGTATCTTTATCATATTATCTTTCTTCAATCACAAGATGATAGCCCCACTGATGACTCATTTATTGTCAAGAAATAATGTATACAGTGGAATTCTAGAATGAATAGTGTGGACACACATTTAGTAGTTAGATGGAGCAGACATCAGCCTTTATAGGAGTACAGAGATGAGAATATCTCAAGGACTGTAAGGTGGTTCTTTGAACTGTGATTCTGGGAATTGAATCTGCTTTAAATTGCCACCAAATTGATAATATTGGAAATTGAAGCCAACCAAGATAAAAACTTTATCGCTTCTTTCAACAACAAAACTTTTTGACATTTGGATTTTCTCAAAACAAGAGATTCTCTTTGCCCATATCTTTTTAGTGTCCTTACTAATAAGATCGTATTTGAATATATGGAATTTATCCATTGACATTTATTCTGTGACCACTAAAAGTGTACCATCATAGATTCTTTTTTTTTTAAGATTTTTTTTTTTTTATTTGAGAGATAGAGCATGAGAGAGAGAGAGCACGAGAGGGAAGAGGGTCAGAGGGAGAAGCAGACTCCCTGCAGAGCAGGGAGCCCGATGCGGGACTCAATCCCAGGACTCCAGGATCATGACCTGAGCCGAAGGCTGTAGCCCAACCAACTGAACCACCCAGGCGCCCCTCCATCATAGATTCTTTAGGATATTACAGAAATGTATACTAACTCCTACTAATTAATACCAATTCATATTTCTGTCTTGAACTAATGACCTGAAATCTGATTTTTGTTGAAGGAGATAAATATATAGTGTATCTGAAACATTGCAACAAAACCCAATTTATTAGCTAGCATCCCAGAACTAATATATCCAAATATATCATCCCCTTCCAAGTTATCATTTTAAAGTCATATCTTTTTCCTGAGCTATTGCTCAGAATGTTTTAAGAATACTTCTTTTGAATTGCTTTTATCCTTCATGGTGCCAAATTTGGTCCTTTGAGGGTGGTTTCATCTTTTGGAAACGGGCAAAAGTTTAGAACCATTTCTGCTTGTAAGACCGATGAATGAACTTTAGTTTTCATCTATGAAGTATACCTACCCCCCTTTTTTTCCTTTTTAAAAAAAGAATGAATACTCCTAAACTAAATTTTACATATCATATGAGCATTCTGCTCTAACTTTATAGGACAGAAAATAGCAGATGTATACAAAAGGAGAGGGAGAGAGAGCGTGTATAATGAACCCCTCTGTTAATTTTATTGCACTCCTCTGTGACCAGAGTTTGCAAAACAGCCCTAGACCAAGGTCTGCATCCATGCCGCCTGCGAATGTCAGCACGATGACACGTAAACTTCTCATTCGTCAGTGGCTATTGTTCCAGTTTTAGAAAGCCTGTGTAGCCTCCAGCTGTTCCATTGTCTCAACCTTTATTATCCCATAACCTTCTTCCCTGGATGTGGGTAAAGAGAAAAGAGGAGAGAACTATGTTATTCTGTGCTCCATTCTACCTCCTCTGACAATATGATTAAAATATAAAAAATCTTTAGTCAGTTAACAGTTTAAAACTGTTTTTAAAATTATCTTCTTAAATATTTCAAGGCTAAGATATTCTATGACATAATGAGATAACTGTGTATACAGTATTTTAAATAGTCACAAAAACAAATTTAGGATTTTTCCCAAGTTTACTATTGATAGAGATTTTACTAGTGATAGTTATATTTATCAGTTACTATTTATCACCATTGTTTTTTAAATTATATATAGAACGAAGGAGCAGTGCATCCTTATAAGTGGTATTTTTGTTAATCTTATGAAGACCTTTAAGTGATCTTCCCCCAAAGCCATATTTTAAAAGTTTAAAAAATATTTTCACCTAATTCTTAAGCTCTAGGGGGAAAAGAAAAAAACCTGGCATTTACCCAAAAAGGAGCACCTCGATCAGTTTTTGGTTAACCTTTTAAACTGCTTAGCTATTTTCATTTGTAATATTCTATTTAAATGAAAAAAGTCTTTGTGTCCCTTTTGGGCAAAATTTCAGTTCTTACTCAATGGTTATAATGCATTTTAATGAAATATGGAAGTGATATGTTTTCTATTTTGATTGGCATTGGTTCAGACCAATTTTTGTAGGATTTGGTAACTTTTAAAAAACCTTTTTCTTGCAGTTAGCTTTGAGACAGCATGAATTTTGTAATCTCTTAGAGTGTCAGATTAACTCTGGACCATACATTCTCAAAGTGGTGGTAGAAACATATTTCATAACTTAAATCTATCTGTCTCTTCTAGGAAGCTATGTTCATTAGAGTAGAAAGGCTAATGTTGAGTATAAATTAGGAAACTTGGAGAACTTTTAGTATTCAATATGAATACTAAGTAAATATTAAGTCTGTCATTTAACTGTGATTGTACTATAGTTAGAAAAGTTTTTTAAATGAATACTTAGAAATGTATTATTATCTCAAGAAACCTACTTAAGAAAAAAATTATCATCCCCCAGAAAAACTAGATTTAAGTAGAACTTTGCTGTTTTCTTCTTTATTTTGTTTTGGTTTTTAAACTGAAAATACAGTGAGCCAGGTTTGTCCTTCTAATACCTCAGTCATCTTCTGGTTGTAGGACTTGTATTTAAAGACATGCAGTAACTGTCTCAGGCATGGTATAGGGTACAGGAAAATCTCTTATCTGGAATATTATGCTTAATTAAAATTTTTGCAGTGGTATGCTAGAGCCAGCTCCCACTGGTATGCTAGAGTGATTATTAAATTTTCAGGGTTTTTGTGAGCTGGTTGTAAAAAGAGCCGTTGTTAAAAATTAAATGTGTATAAAGAAACACATATATATTTAACAAATGAGTTATGTTAAAAACAATAAATACTCAAAACTCATCACTTCTCATAATTTTATCTATGCTCGTGAGGTTATTTACATCTCTTTTATCTGTATGGTGTGCTTACTCTGTATGTCTTCTCATCACCACCTTCCGTGAGGTCACACTGACAGCTTGAAATTGGCCATGGTGAAAGTATTTACATCATGTAAATTGATAAACACGTCAGGGCCTTTTTCCCCCAGAGAGCACTTGAAAAACCTCTCTAATTTAGCCTCTGATAAAAACCTTTCAAAAATGCACGGGGGCATTTTTCCACCTTAACTGTATAGATCATGCTGAATATTATTGTTCCAAATGCTGAAGATCTTTGATACCTAAGATTTCAGTGCTCAAAATAATCATCCTAAATATTAGCAAAGTCACTTCTTATGACATGTAAAAAGAAGTATGTTATTTCCAGGTCAATTTTATATAAAAGATCAAGTTGTAAATTGCTTATATATACTTGTCATATTTTGTTTCATTGCAGCCGCCACTGGTGACATGCCGACTTACCAGATCCGAGCTCCTACTACTGCTTTGCCTCAGGGAGTAGTGATGGCTGCCTCGCCAGGAAGCTTGCACAGTCCCCAGCAACTGGCCGAAGAAGCAACACGCAAACGAGAGCTGAGGCTAATGAAAAACAGGTAGGCTATTTCTCCGGAAACCAGTAGCCACCTATCGGACACATAACTTATCGCTGTGGGGCCTTTAAGAAAATTGCTTTTCCTAAGTTACATCTTCTGTGGCATTTTGGGGTTTGTGCTCTGCATGTGATGATAATTAGATTGTCTTGTCATCAGAGTGCCTAGCTGGGAAACCATTTCATCAGTGGGAGTCACATCCCTATGTGTGGTAAGAGTAACATCTAAAAGATACATTAATTTTCTTAATGATGATGCAAGGGCTTTATTACAAATAAAGATTTTTTTTTTTACTTGGCATTTACTTTGTGAAGTAGGTGATAAGTGTAATTTTTTTGTTTCTTTATGAGCAAAATAAATTTAAGTGTGAGTAAAGAATTTCTAAGCCTCTTAGGGGTGGCTGGCAGGCTTAGTTGGTAGAGCATGTAACTCTTGATCTTAGGGTCTGTGGGTTCAATCCCTGTGTTAGGGGTAGAGTTTATGCAAATAAATAAATAAATAGAATTCTCTAAGCCTTTTATATGTAGTTTTCTTTTATCTACTTTGTAACTTTGGTTTTTTTCTATTATACTGAAATGCATATTAATTCTGATAAATTTTGGTCAAGTGCAAATACAAAGCACCAGAAAGAAACAAAATTACTTAGAGCCCCATCACTTAGAGATACCTAACTAATATTATAACATATGTACTTCCAGTTCACATGCTCATTTTCTCACTCTTGTACCATGTTTGTATAATTTTATTTTTTAAACAGGAGTATGTCATAAAAATGCTGTTTTCCAAAATTCTTTAATTTGACTTCTATATTATTTCTTGGTTTAGTTTTTATGATGGAAAATGGTGCAAGTTAATCTGATTTTCAAAATGAATAGAGTAGTCCAAGAGTTCTCCCAGTCGTCTGGTCACCTTATTCCTATGTATTAAATCATGTCCTCATTGTAAGAAAACAAAGCATTGCAGATGACATCATGTGCTCACCTCTGACCAGGACCACCTGGTGGTGGTTTGTTTAGTAACATTACCACCTAGTTAGGCTAGAAATTGTGGCTTCTGAAGCCACTACAATTCAGAAATAAGTACTGACTTCCTAACAGTCCTTTGTAACTGAATGTGAACCAGTCGCAGCTATATTCAGTTTACTAACATCCTTTATTTTTTAAATTTTATTTTATTATGTTATGTTAGTCATCATACCTTACGTCATTAGTTTTTGATGTAGTGTTCCATGATTCATTGTTTGCGTATAACACCCAGTGCTCCATTCAATCCATGCCCTTCTTAATACTCACCAGGCTAACCCATCCTTCCACCGCCCCCTAAAATCCTCAGTTTGTTTCTCAGAGTCCATAGTCTCTCATGGTTTGTCTCCCCTTCCGATTCCCACCCCCTTCATTTTTCCCTTCCTATCTTTTTTTTTTTTTTAACATATAATGTATTATTTGTTTCAGAGGTACAGGTCTGTGATTCAACAGTCTTACACAATTCACAGCGCTCACCATAGCACATACCCTCCCCAATGTCTATCACCCAGCCACCCCATCCCTCCCAACCACCACCACTCCAGCAACCCTCAGTTTGTTTCCTGAGATTAAGAATTCCTCATATCAGTGAGATCATATGATACATGTCTTTCTCTGATTGACTTATTTCGCTCAGCATAATACCCTCTAGTTCCATCCACATTGTTGCAAATGGCAAGATTTTGGGGTGTTTTTTTGATAGCTGCATAATATTCCATTGTATATATATATATATATATACCACATCTTCTTTATCCATTCATTACTAACATCCCTTTAAATGTCATATTTTGAGGGCACCTGGGTGACTCAGTTGTTAAGCGTCTGCCTTCAGCTCAGGTCCTGATCCCGGGGTCCTGGGATCAAGCCCCACATCAGTCTCCCTGCTCAGCGGGGAGCCTGCTTCTCCCTCTTCCTCTGCCTGCAGCTCCCCCTGCTTGTGCGCTCTCTCTGTCAAATAAACAAAATAAAAGTAAGTAAGTAAGTAAATAAATAAATAAATGTCACATTTGATATAATATAGGACTCCTCAAGTTGCCTTTAGTTCCCAAACATTGTAGGTATCGCAGATCACTAGATGGAGTTTTGTACCCTGGAAAATGCAACAGATTACCAGAACTAGAATCATGAAGATATACATGTCTTTATCAGTGGTTGTTCCAGGTTAACTAAGTCATGCTGGATTCCTATTTTTTGTTGTCAGCACTTTGCTCAGAAATCCTGAAGGGGCTGAATGGGTGGGGCTCATGGTTGTTTTATGGAAGTCTTGCTATCAAAGATCTCTAACTTAGATCTGGTGGAGGAATATGGATATTATTTTATTTTTTATTTTTTATTTTTTTTAAAGATTTATTTATTTGACAGAGACACAGCAAGAGAGGGAACACAAGCAGGGGGAGTGGGAGAGGGAGAAGCAGGCTTCCCGCTGAGCAGGGAGCCTGATGCAGGGCTTGATCCCAGGACCCTGGAATCATGACCTGAGCCAAAGGCAGGCACTTAACGACTGAGCCACCCAGATGCCCCGGAATATGGATATTTTAAAACTGTCCTTTCAGAGATCTCAGGGAGCTATGAAAACGATTGCTTCTGTGGTCACAGAATTTACATTGTGAAGTTCAGTTTAGAAATATAAAGTGTGGTGATGCAAACTGTAAAATTGTTCACTGATATCCTACTTTCCTACAGAAAATAAAAGACCTAGAAAGTAGCGTTCTTTTTTCCCTTTTGTCATTATTCTGTACCTTTATTTTTAGATTAAAAAATGTTGTCAGTAGAACTATCAATGAAATAATAAAATATTAGGCAGTGGGTTCCTCTAAACATGCCCCACAACTACCTACCACGTACATAAGAAATTTCCCTGAGGAAAATAGTCATGAAATTTTAGGTTTTAAAAAAATAATTAGCTAACGACAGCTATTGGATAGCATTTATGTTTGGGCTGTAAATAACCAAGGGAAATGGAGCCTTCACCCCACAGGTGTTATTTTGATCTTATGTGGCTGGTCCAGAGGTATGTGCAGCCAGAACAAAGCCTCGGCAGTGTCATCAAGGATCCAGGCTTCTCCTCCTTGCTCTGTCAGCTTTAGCAGGTGACATTTGTTCTTAGGATCACAACATGGCTGCCACGTCCCTAGGCGTAGCATCCGGCAGGAAGAAGGAAGAAGGGCCAGAGCCAAAAACTGGGGCCGCTGAGTCTAACTCTTCCGAAAACTTCTCCTGGAAGACCCTCGCAGCATCTTTCACCCACATTTCCTTGGCTAAAAATAGCTAAGAGAGTCCCTACCTGCAAGGGATTCTGAGAAGGGTCTATGTTAGCTTTCCAGATCTCAATTTCAGAGCAGGACTAGGGAAGAGCAGATGATAAATGGCTAATAGGTGGCTCGGTTGAGCAAGTACCATATGCAGGTTTTAAGTGCTTTGTTTCTACTGTTTAACTCTCACATAATTTGCATGTGAGATCAGGTCTGGTTATTATTCTTACTTTCCAGAAGAGGGACTGAGGTTCAGAGTGGTTAAGTAATGAGTTGGTTAAGATCGTGCAACCCACACTAGACAGAACCTGGATATGCAATCAGGCAGTCTTTCTTCCAGAGCCTGCCCACTGCACTACACCAGAGTCACCTCAAAAAGACCTCAGAGTAAGCTTCAGATTTAACTTCATGGAAAGTATGTAGGTTTTACTTATTAACATGAAAGACCTCTCAGACATTCCCTTTTTATTCTTTGGCTGGCATTTATGATAGATCTGATAGATATTTCTCCCAGTGCAGCGACAGTTTATATTTCTTTACAGCCTTGTCAACATTTCCTCTTTGCTGTGTATTTCCTCTCCATGCTGAGGATATATCCAGACAAATGCAAGGCCTGAAAACTGAGCTATTAATAGAAGAAACAGGTGTTTTCCATAGCTGGGAAGTACTTAGGAATGTACCATCTACTGGTGCGATCATTTAAAGCTTTGTGCTTGGAACATTTTGACCGGTAACCTGCACCATTCCTGCATGAGATATGAATTATGATATTTACAACAAATAGTACACCTTGGTAAAGAAAATTTAAAAATACATAACCACAGCTCTGCTATTAGATATGTAAATTTTCATTTAATGATAACTTGTTTTATAAAGTGATTATCTTCCTTCCAGATCTAGAATTTAATATAATGATTCAATCATGAACACCGTGGTATTCATAAGTGTATTTTAGTTCCTTTGTAGAAGAGTTGCAAATTTTATGAGCTTGGATTTATTCTCAACTTTTCCCTATGCATCATTTAGATTAAATCAATCTATATTTATCAGATTCAGTTTACTTCTTACATTTTTTAATTTTCTTGTTAACTAGTTGAGAAGTCTGAGAACTTTGTGAGTTCACAGGGTGAGTGCATTGTTCTTGGCTAGGAAGTAGGGGTTGATCTTTTCCTGCAGTTCACTGGGATTTCAAGGTCTTTTTTCTGCTGACACTTGGTCCCATGGAGAAAAAAACAGATAACCAGTTGTTAGTGAGTCAACTATCCTAAAAATAAAACAGAATTGGCCAAATCTGTTATACACATCACTCCTGGTTCCGAATTGCAGCAGTGCTAGCTAGCATTACAGTAAACATTGGTGTTTAGACATCCAACACGACTCTTGTTAATATATGTTTGAGTTCTCTCTTTCACTGTAGACTTTTTTGATAATGAAGCGTACCCCAAAGGCAGTTATTTTCAGTTGACTCCTCCAAAAGAACACTGTTATCAGAGGATACATTGTATAGAGGACTTAAATGATATAGTTGCCACCCCTTCCCACCCTGAAAAAAAAGGAGAAAGAGAAAAATGTTGGCTCTATTAACTATTTTTTGGTGGGGTTATGCATGAAAATGACTAACTCATCTGTATATTTGTGTTTGTTGCTTTGGCTGGTCTGTTCGTCCTTTGGGCATGCCTGCAGCACTTTAAAGATCAGTATATTGGGTAGTGACTGCACGTGATTGGAAAACAGTCTTGAAATACACTTTTGGGTTATATAGTAGCTTTCTTTCCAAAGTGTTAATATTGGTGCTCTCACTTCGTGGGTTTAAATTGTCTGAATTATTGAGTGTTGGATTCCGTACCCTTCCTTCCTCCCTTCCTTAATTTTCAGAAGCAGAGTCCATTTCATTTTGGTTTATGAAAATGTGTATGACTTGCTTACTGTTGTCTTTATCCATGTTGTTTTCTAGCCAATAACCTGCTTCTTGCAGTCATGGTCGAGCTTATTTGTTTTACTGATGAGATTCAGTCTTGAAGAAACAAAATCTCCAATATTGACATTTCAAATTTCTGAGGATTAATTTTTCCAATATTTCTGACCAAATAAAGTTGACGCATTGTGATGGAATATGTGCCTTTTGGTGGGCAAAAATAATTAAGAGAATTGAAAGGATCTGTAAAAGTTTTTGTAGAAATTCCACTTGGGGATGTGGTCCTATTGGTTTAGGTTACTGAAAACCATTCTGGTCACTGTTATCATGGAATGTGTGCCCTAAGAAAACAGCATTTACAACGAATCATGCTCTCAAGTTGTTCCTGTTGTTTGAAAGTAATCTTACAAAAGGCATGTGCTTGGTTACATTTGTTGCCTGGCTTTGTACAAACCTTACCTAGGATTGATTGGCTGTTGAGTTTGGGGGGCAGAAGTTCATTTGAGCCAGTCTGGATGGTGCTGGGAGGTTGTTCCTGTAGTCATTTGCCTTGTGTTGGTTCCAGGGAAGCTGCCCGGGAGTGTCGCAGGAAGAAGAAAGAATATGTCAAATGTCTTGAAAATCGTGTGGCTGTGCTTGAAAACCAAAACAAGACTCTCATTGAGGAACTCAAGGCCCTCAAAGATCTTTATTGCCATAAAGCAGAATAACTGTCTTTGACTTGGACCTTGTTTATTATGAACTCTAATCAAGGCAGGAGATGCAGCAATTCTACTAATTGCCATGTGGACTTGTGGAAGGGACACTTGTGACCCTTAAGAATCCAGTTTGGCTTAGTGTTTGACATTGAATTGGGAACACTGTTCCAAGATTTGGAATGCAGCCATGATCACATTTACCAAGCTTACTTCAGTCTGCTTGTCAATAGCATGCCAAAAAAAAAAATATATGTTTTGTTTGCCCTTTTGCTTCTACTTTTTTTCAGGGAAGCTGCTAAAGAATGTCGACGTCGAAAGAAAGAATATGTAAAATGTCTGGAGAGTCGAGTTGCAGTGCTGGAAGTTCAGAACAAGAAGCTCATAGAGGAACTTGAAACTTTGAAAGACATTTGCTCTCCTAAAACAGATTAGTAGAAATATTTAACTATGAACTGATTACCACATGTACAGTTGCTTTTGAAGGCAATACAATATATAGCCAGCAAGAATTATGGCTTTTTTCCTTTGTATCATTCATCGTATTCTCTAAGCTCTGACATTCCTAAAATGCTTCACTGTACGTAGTTAACTCTTAGCTGTAACTTCAATTTTTTAAAAAAGAGACAAGCTGTAAAAAAAAAAATGTATGTAACAAATTCTTAAAATGCAATATTTGTAAGACTTGCTCCATTGCCACATATTTGCAGTTCCCAACCTCTGTGTCATGAATAGTGTCCTATGCAATACAATTTTTTGCAGGTCTTTAAAAATCATTTTAGGAAAGGATGATCAGAGATAATGCATCCAGCAGTACAATAAAAGCAAACCACAAAAAAATACCTCAGGAAAGAATTGAAAGAAAGAATCGAAAGAATCTAATGACATGCCTATATGAAAATAAGAACCTATAAATGAATTTATGGCATTTGCAGATTTTTATGTTAGTTGCTTTGTAAAGAAAATATTGTATTGCTGTCCTTGAATGCCATAGTTGAAGAGAGTTTTTAATAGAACCATGTTGGTTACACTTTGTAGTGTTTGGTGCTCATTTAACTATCTGAACATTTACTACAGTTTTTACTCTATTGTGTAATATAAAAGATCTTGCAGAAGTTCTTAGTGTCGGTTTGCATGAATGAACCTAATGAAAGTTATGACAAATTTTTAATATCAGGAATGTGTTAAAAGTAAAAGTTAAAATTGTATTTGCATCCCTTCAGGGGTACGTGAGCCAATTTCTACACCAGTTTATGCTCTCTGCAAATACTCTTTCCTCCATCTCGTCAGAAGGATGGCCCCAGAGCTGTTACGCAGAAGAGCAGCTACGAGAGATTCAGGTCATGTGATGATGGACAAGGCCTTTCTGCAGATGGGCCCCTGTTTTGAGTTTTAGTTTACAGCCCTAGGAGTTTTAAAGTAAAAACAAAAACAACCCAAGATTTTATTTTCCATTTCAAAATAGCTTGAAGTCTACATCAGATCAAAGATTTTTATGTCAGCACATTCAGATGAAGTCCATTACATCGAGACAGCAGTGTTCTTACTGGTATTTACATTTCATTCTGTTTTTATAATAAAAAGCTTTAAGATATAAGCCGAAGCCCTGATCGTAAGATGCTCTGTCATCTCTCATTCACTCCTGAGACATTTGTTGAATGCCTGCCATGTGCTAGACTCTGTGATATCTTCTCTTATACCTTCTGATTTGTTAAGGATGCCCCCCCCAACCCCTACTTTCAGTAGTGAAACCTGGTCAGTGTGTTAGAGAGGTACAAAAACAGGAGGTCATTGACTGGTATGGTGTCTAACTGCTGTTCCTCCCATGTCATAATTCTTTCCCTTATAACTCCCAGAAGGTAGGCCATGCCATTTTTGGCTTTCTTTAGAAAGACTCACCTTCCTTCAGAGTCTGAGCTCTGAATTTCTTTTATCTCAATTTTTGTCTTTTCTTCTACAGAGAAGTAAGATGAGGAAAGAAGATAAGGAAGAAAAGAGGAAAGGAAAATCCCATGTTTCAGGTGAAGGAAAATGGTGCTTTATACTCAGTCACTGTAAATCAAATGCGTGCTCAGTGTGGTAGAGTTGAGAGGGAGACACAAGGATCAGCAGACAAGATGTAAAAAAGTTAGAGACAGTAAATGCCATATGTTAGAATTAGAGACAGATGTAGGCAGGGATTAAATAAGAAACTGTTCCTGGAGGAGGCAGATTTTGAACTGGGCCTTGAGGTAAGCGATAGTGGTGGGGAGGAGGGTATTCTGCATGGGGAATACAGAGCATGCGCTCTTCTCCAAGGAGCTTGACTTCAGGAGATGAATTTAGGAGAACGTTAGTACTCACAGGAGAGTTTAGTTTGTAAGAGAGAGAGGGAGTGTGCATGCGTTCGTGTGTGCTCTGCTCTATAAAGTAGGTTATGTTATTTCAGAGGAAGGGGATTACATCTGATTACTTGGGGTCACAGAAAGCAGATGTCTCCCCACTCTCCAGTTGTTTAAACAATAAGGAAATTTCGTTCCCTCACAAAACAAGAAGCCCAGAGGTAGGGCATCCCAGGGTTGCTTAATTTAGTGACTTCACAATGGCATCGCGACCAGATTCTTGCTACGCATTTTGCTCTGGAGTATTAGTGAAGATTCTCCCCTGGGACAGAGGGTTTCAGACTTCTGTGAACTTTTGGCATCAACGTGCGATCAAACGGGTTCTGGTAGAATGGTGTGTAGGCAGCCGACGTCGTCCGCTGTGAGGGTGATGCGAGAGCGCCTCCGCTGTCCCGGAAGTGGCTCCGCTGTCCCGGAAGTGGGGAGGCGCTTGTAAGAGGCGGTGCTTGAGCCGTGGCAACTTAATTCTTGCACCTCCAATTTGTCCCTGAAACAAAAACTTTTGTTACTAAAAGCAGCACGGTTTTCTAGCTCTCCATTCAGCCTTAAGCAGTACTGCCCACAACCTCTCGCTACCCAGCCAGCAGCGAGCTGGAAGCTGTACGAACGTTGTCCATCTTGCAGAACAGTGTTGCCCAGAATCCAGAGCTGTCACGGCATTCGCGTTGTTTCTTTTCTCCTAAAGTCTTCAGAATCTGGACTTACAGATGTAGAAATTACCAACCCTGAATCATGGGATTATACCACCTTGTCAGATTTAACTAGGGAGTTCATAATGTTAAATCATTTGAAATGGGAAAATAAAGAAAATGAACTTCTGCCGTGTTTTTAAATGTGTTTGAGTGCTAGGCTTGCCCGAAACAGGACATTTTGCATCAGCAACCACATTTCTCAGTTTTCTTCAGATATTCTTCTTAATGTCCAGTATAGTCTGTTTCCTGAGTGCCTAAACTACACTTTTTTTTTTTTTAAATGAGGACTTGTGAAACCAACACACTGTTTTTCTAGTCTAGAACCAAAAATAAATGAAGCAGTTTGGCCCTGTGTGGGACAAGCCGAGCTGCTGCCTACTGACTAGCCATGATGCACTGACTTTCTTATGTTTTAGCATGTGCCAAGGTCTTCAGGAACTTAAATGTGGCTCACGTTTTCTAGGGTCATCCTAAAGACACAGGCCTGATTCTGAACTACTCCAGCATGGTATATTTCAATATTTCTCCTTTGTGTATAACTTATTTCTATATACATCCATCTTATCATAGCTACACTTCATATTTATACATTTTAGAATTCCAAATGTATTTTTAGTGCAAAGCCTTTTTAACGCAGTATTGTTTGTTCTTCAAAGATCCATTTTGCCATTTGGTACTGTGTGATATCTTACTTACAATGAGATTTAACATATTTCTTTTCCAGAGGGGTGGGGTGCCTGGGTGGCTCAGTCTGTTAAACATCTGCCTTCAGCTCAGGTCATGATCCCAGAGTCCCAGGATCACCCCTGTCAGGCTCCTTGCTCAGCAGAGAGTCTACTTCTCCCTCTCCCTCTGTCCCACCCCCCCCACCCCCCACTCGTGCTCTCTCTCTCTCTCTCTCTGTGTGTGTCTCAGATAAATAAAATCTTTAAGAAAAAAGAAAGATATTTCTCTTCAGGGCCATCCTCTTTACACACTCACACATAATTCCATCAGGGATGGGAAATAATGAGTAAAAGGAGAAAACTAACCTTACTATACCTTTGTTTTACTTTCTCAAATAAAATGCAACCCTTGTTATTTCCAAGCCAGTCTTAATTTTCAAAAGGATGCTAAGTTTTTTCAGATTTCTTTCTTTATTAGAAAAATATTTGGGAAAACACCATGGAAAAGCTAAGCCAGCATGGGTTATTTGGACTACACACACACACACACACACACACACACACACACACACACACGCTTCCTTGACTTTCTGTTCCTTCTTTTAATTCCAGTCTTTGCCTTCCCAGGGCAATAGAACAGAGTCAGCGAAAGCCCTCTTCTAAATCTGCAGTAGGAATTCCTTTGGTTCCTTTGTGCAGAAACCAGTCAAAACCTGAAATAATCCTGAACCTTCCCTCTCTCCCAGCTCCCATGGCTTCTGCCCATACCCTTCCAGTTGGGGGTGTGCATGGGCAAGACAATAGCCACGGGCGCTCAGATGCTCCGAACGGCACGTGAGGCTGGGCTTTCAGCTCCCCAGCTCTCATGAGGGGAAGGTGTAAACTTGATTTTACGTTACAAAATGTCTTTTTTACTTTTCAAAAATTAGCATGTTAATATTTTTTAATATAGGTAACACATACTTGAGGTTCAAAATTCAAAAGATACAAAGGCATATTGTGAAAAGTCAGTTTCCTGTCCGAAGCCACCTCCTGGAAGGGCAGCCATGGCTACCAGTTTCTTTTGTGTGAAGGAGATCCCTTTAATTCATTGATCATGCCACCTGCTTCCTTACATTACTATCCCATATTCAGAGCTGTGTGATCTAGAATTTCTGAAGAGATATAGGGAGTCAGCATGTTCATTCATTCCTTCAAGTCAACAAGTGAGGTTGCATTAGTAAGAATAAGTCCAGAAGGAGAGAGGATGAGCAGCTGTGGCAGCATCGTGATTTCATGGATGTTCTCCAGTTTCATGCTAAGTTCTATGGATGCTATAACCATGCAGCTGTAATCAAAACTCATTACCACCATGTACTGAGTGCTTAGTGGGCCAGCACCCAACAATGTGCCATATAGGGCTTATCATATTTAATTCTCATAACCCAACAAGTGTTGGTGCTTTTATTATCATCCCCATTGGCAGATGAAGAAACAGGCTTGGAGACAAGGACAAGTAACTTGCCCAAGGTCACATAGCTGGTAGAGATCAGGACAAAGAGCAGAACCAGGCAAGGGGGAGGATGCCTCTTTCCTGGGGCTCTGACCTAACTTCAACCAAAGGCTGGAAAGGGACCAAAAGAAGTGCATGCTGGTTGAGCAGGTGGTGGCCTGCTGAAAGAGAGTTCTGTGGCTCCAAGTGGTTAGATCTAGGAATTTCCAAACCTGTCCTTTTCTTATGAGCAGAAGCATGTATTAGTTTCTTTCTGGTTTCCAAAATCCCTGATGCTGTTCAGGAGAAAATGACTCTGGTTTTCAAAAAGAAAAGAGAAATGACCCAAATAAATACAATCATGAATGAAAGAGGAGAGATCACAACCAACACCAAAGAAATACGAAAAATTGTAAGAATATACTATGAGCAACTATATGCCAGTAAATTAGGCAATCTGCAAGAAATGGATGCATTCCTAGAGATGTATAAACTACCAAAACTGAACCAGGAGGAAATAGAAAACCTGAACAGACCTATAACCACTAAGGAAATTAAAGGAGTAATCAAAAATCTCCCCCCCAAAAAAAAGCCCAGGGCCAGATGGCTTCCCAGGGGAATTCTACCAACATTTAAAGAAGAATTAATACCTATTCTTCTGAAACTGTTCCAAAAAATAGACATGGAAGGAAAACTTCCAAACTCATTTTATGAGGCCACCATTACCTTGATCCCCAAACCAGACAAAGACCCCATCAAAATGGAGAATTACAGACCAATATCCCTGATGAACACGAATGCAAAAATTCTCACCAAAATACTAGCCAATAGGATCCAACAGTACATTGAAAGGATTATTCACCACGATCAAGTGGGATTTATTCCTTGGCTGCAAGGTTGGTTCAACATCCACAAATCAATCAGTGTGATACAATACATTAATAAAAGAAAGAACAGGAAACATATGATCCTCTCAATAGATGCAGAAAAAGCATTTGACAAAGTACAGCATCCTTTCTTGATTAAAACTCTTCAGAGTATAGGGACAGAGGGTACATACCTCAATGTCATAAAAGCCATCTATGAAAAACCCACAGTGAGTATCATTCTCAACAGGGAAAAACTGAGAGCTTTCCCCCTAAGGTCAGGAACACAGCAGGGATGTCCACTATCCCCACTATTATTCAACATAGCGTTAGAGGTCCTAGCCACAGCAATCAGAAACAAAAAGAAATAAAAGGCATCTGAATCAGCAAAGAAGAAGTCAAACTCTCACTCTTTGCTGATGATCTGATACTTTATGTGGAAAACCCAAAAGACTCCACCCCAAAACTGCTAGCACTCATACAGGAATTCAATAAAGTGGCAGGATATAAAATCAATGCACAGAAATCAGTTGCACTCCTATACACCAACAACAAGACAGAAGAAAGAGAAATTAAGGAGTCAATCCCATTTACAATTGCACCCAAAACCATAAGATACCTAGGAATAAATCTCACCAAAGAGGCAAAGAATCTGTACTCAGGAAACTATAAAATACTCATGAAAGAAATAGAGGAAGACACAAAAAAATGGAAAACATTCCATGCTTATGGATCAGAAGAACCAATATTGTGAAGATGTCAAAGCTACCTAGAGCAATCTACACATTTAATGCAATCCCTATCAAAATACCATCCACTTTTTTCAAAGAAATGGAACAAATAATCCTAAAATTTGTATGGAACCACAAAAGACCCCAAACAGCCAGGGGAATGTTGAAAAAAGCAAAGCTGGTGGCATCACAATTCTGGCCTTCAAGCTCTATTACAAAGTTGTCATCATCAAGACAGTATGGTACTGGCACAAAAACAGACACATAGATCAATGGAACAGAATAGAGAGCCCAGAAATGGACCCTCAACTCTACGGTCAACTAATCTTTGACAAAACAGGAAAAAAATGTCCAATGGAAAAAAGACAATCTCTTCAACACATGGTGTTGGGAAAATTGGACAGCCACATGCAGAAGAATGAAACTGGATCATTTCCTTACACCCCACAAAAAATAGACTCCAAATGGTTGAAAGACCTAAATGTGAGACAGGAGTCCATCAAAATCCTAAAGGAGAACACAGGCAGCAACCTCTTCGACCTCAGCTGCAGCAACTTCTTCCTAGAAACATCACCAAAGGCAAGGGAAGCAAGGGCAAAAATGAACTCTTGGGACTTCATCAAGATAAAAAGTTTTTGCACAGCAAAAGAAACAGTCCACAAAACCAAAAGACAACCGACAGAATGGGAGAAAATATTTGCAAATGACATATCAGATAAAGGGCTAGTATCCAAAATCTATAAAGAACTTATCAAACTCAACACCCAAAGAACAAATAATCCAATCAAGAAATGGGCAGAAGACATGAACACACATTTTTCCAAAGAAGACATCCAAATGGCCAACAGACACATGAGAAAGTGCTCAACATCGCTTGGCATCAGGGCAATCCAAATCAAAACCTCAATGAGATACCACCTCACACCAGTTAGAATGGCTAAAATTAACAAGTCAGGAAACAACAGATGTTGGTGAGGATGTGGAGAAAGGGGAACCCTCCTACACTGTTGGTGGGAATGCAAGCTGGTGCAGCCACTCTGAAAAACAGTATGGAGGTTCCTCAAAAAGTTGAAAATAGAGCTACCCCATGACCCAGCAGTTGCACTACTGGGTATTTACCCCAAAGATACAAATGTGGTGATCCAAAGGGATACGTGCACCCGATGTTTATAGTAGCAATGTCCACAATAGCCAAACTATGGAAAGAGCCAAGATGTCCATCGACAGATGAATGGATAAAGAAGATGTGGTATATGTATACAGTGGAATATTATGCAGCCATCAAAAGGAATGAAAGCTTGCCATTTGCCACTACGTGGATGGAACTGGAGGGTATTATGCTAAGTGAAATAAGTCAATCAGAGAAAGACATGTGTCATGTAATCTCACTGAT